AAAAAAAAAAAAAAAAAAAGCACTTGACATTGAATTATATATTTAATTTACTTTAAAATATATAAGATTCATAAAGAATGTCCTTATGTTAATGATGATTTACTGAAGGATCTTGCAGAAGTGTATGAGAAAGAATCCACAGAGTTCCCACTGGGTGTTTCACGATGATCAAATCGCGTGATACAAATCAGTTGGTGTCGTAGGTCCGTAGCGGGCTGGTCGAAAAAGAAAGTGCCTTTTGTAGGAGCAAAGTGCATCTATTTATACAGGGTGTCTGAAATGCCAAACGAGCCTAAAACGCTCTCGAGCCAAGGCGGGCAAGTAAACGCACCGTGACAACCCATGAGAGAGCTTAAGGCTACTAAGTGCCTTAATAAATTATTCTTCAAGTATTCTGTATACTTATTGTGTTTCGAAACTTTCTTGTCTTCTTATGTTACACAACGTATCCGATAGAGGAGAATGAATAGTTTATGAAGTAAACGAGAACCTCAGAAATCACAAGCACTTGAGTGCTCAGAAGTCAACTCATTTTACAACCTTCTACGAATTCCCTTTCCTCTAGTGATCCAGTCCGACTTATTCCCTTCAAATTATCCCCCAAATCTCGGGATCGAAATTTGTCAAAGAAATTCTCATTCAAATGGCCATACAAAATTGTCCAGCTAAACGTTCATTTAGATATGCATACATGGCATGTACTTGCACAATTTGACTGCCAGGACTGTTGGAAATGACAAACTAAAATGCCAACAAAGCAAAGTAACATAGAATTCGAGCATACGAGCGTCTCCAGTCTGACAGTTCCTAAGTGTAGAAAAACAGATGGACCGACATGCACTATGATTGATGGTGACGCGAAGAACTTCGTTGTGTAAACATATCATACTGTATCCTTAATGACTCTTGGTGAGCATCTCTTCCCTCTTGCATTCACGGAACGTTCCGCAGTCATTCATGATCCGCGTGTGTTAATTTCAAATGAAGATAATACTTTCTAAATCGTCGCCATTCCACCAGTTTTGTCACTTCTTGTTGAAGAAGAAGCAGATGAAGTTCTAAATTTCTTTTGACACTTTCTTTCGACTCGTGGGTGGAACAGGAGAAGAGACAGAAGAAATCTCACGTTTTGAGGCAACTGGTGCAAGTATAAACTTTTCGTCCACAGAGAGACCGCGTTTATCGGTGACGCGTGACGGCGCCGGTAATAAAAACGCCGTCCGTCGGCCTAACCTCGCTGATTCTTTCATCTTCCTCGTAGGTACTAGTCCCCTCCCCCCCGTGGAAGTTAACCCTTGACCCTAACAGGAGGAGTTAGGTGACACTGCGTTGCTGGTGGCGAATTCTCTTCGCTGGAACCAGCTGTTGCCGGAGATATCTATACTTCACTCACAGACACTTGAAGGTGGAACGCCTTTCTCGATAAGCGGCACTCCGGCGACGACAATTCATCTAGAAAGGAGTCGAGTAAACCGAGCAGTAGAGAGACAACAAAATTGAAAAGGGAAAAGTGTATATGAACTTGCAATACTCGACGTGAATCCTGGTGTTCTTTCTTAGAAAGAATAAGCGCGCTCAAAGTATGCTAGTGTATGTTTCCTCGCCCACCCAAATACGGGTTCCCTCTTCGTACTCGTTGAAAATATTCCGTATAAGATGGAACGGCAGGTTACGCTGAAAATAAGGAGAGGAAAGTGACAGATGGAGGAGAGCAATTGCTTAATAAATTTCACTAATTTTCCGGTGGTAGCCTGTTGGTCTCGGATCAAAGACCGACAAATGAATCGCTCGGTAGATAGAACTCGGGAGAAGAAAAAGGCGAGAAATAGGAAGAAAAAGCGAGGGAGTGCGTGCATCCGTAAACCGAAACATCTTGGGCTGAGGTCTTGCGTTATTCCACGGGCTATGAATCCGTCATCGCTGGCTACCAGAAGGAGTGTACCGCGTATACGTGTGACGACGACTGCCAGGGCTTTTATAGTTTCCACAGCAGGTTTGATACAACCGAACGGTTTTTTTTAAAAGCCATCGACGAAGGCTGTGCCCACTTCCAACCAGCCAGCCGACGGCGCGCAAAATAAACAGATGATGGAAACTACCTGGAAGAATGTAGATCAACGAGCAGCCAAGCTTTTCTTTTCCTATTGATTTTTCCACAAGATGGTAGAAACTGACAAACCTGTGAGACACAACCGTGATTGTAAGATTTCTCTCTCCTCGAGCACAACAATGGAGGGAATAAAAAAAAAAACTCTTTTTACAGATCTTTCGCGAAGACAGAAGGAGGAACATTTGTTATTTCGAGGAATAGGGAGAGGCTTCTCGTTTCGATGCGAAGCTCTCTCTCAAAAGATGAGAGGCGTGTGTAGATCTAGCGTGTCTCGTATACGATGATGGCATATACGACGAGCAGAAGTTCATATCCTGCGGTACCAGCCACACGAATATGGCCGCAATGACAGATTTACAGATTCCAGCCATCGGGCTGCTCGCTTCTTCGGGATTCTCTAAAGCATACGTTCAGAGAGCGAGAGACGTGTGCCTTGGATGGCCCGAGTGCGCGTCAAATCGCACCTCGACTGTTTACGCTTTACGTCTGCAACCTTCGTCTCTGTCTACTTCTTAAATCTCTTCGTCGTCACCGCCCTCCTTTCACTGCATCTGCGTTTTATTTAAGTATTGAATTAATTTCGAAAGACGTGGCCCAATGGCTCTCGCATTTTTTCTCTTTCCCTCTTTTTTTTCGATCAATTTTTTAAACACATTATATTAAATTTATTTTTCAAATATATTTCTTAATTTATATTTTTTTTTATTATATTTATATAATTTATACTGTATAAGCAATGCTTGTAATCGTACATGTTTGTAGTTGTACATTTCAAGATATTACCATTTAAACGTCTTCTTATTATCAGCATCATCTTCTTTTATAACCTATATGTATTTGTTTCCATACGCGTTTTTTTTCCTTTTCTTCCAATAAGTCCTATACTCGACGATTCGATCAGTACGCAAATTTTTGTAAATTTTTTTTTTTTTTTTTGGAAAATTTGTTGCACGTGTTTTTCAATTTTCCAAAATGGCGTGACACCTGCAGCGTCGTTGCCAGTGAACAATTTTAAATCTAAAAGGGCAAACTCGTTACGTTGGCTATTAGAATTAAAGCTGAACTGAATATAACGCATAATTGACGTTGAAAAAGTAACGAGCTTACTCGTTAGCTTGTATTCCAGTCTTAACCACGCAACAATAAAATCAACCGTTTGTCGACTCATCCTTCTTAATTGCACGACGACAGGTGACTTGGAACAAATATGATTTAAAATTGGATTTCATCGTAGATTTCAACTTCGTGTGCCAAAATTTGCAAACGTTCCTGTTCCTTTTCCTTGACACACGTTTCGGTTGCTACTCTTGATGCCTCCATGATGGAAGTGGATTTTATGTAGAAACACGCACGATAGGAGAGAACAGGAAGAAAGACGGACATATCTGTTAACGCCATGAAAACTGTCCAAGCAAGCGAAGTATCCGAAGACAGACACTGACCGTGAACTGGCGGGACCTAAAAGAAGTTTACCTTATGTCGTAAATAGAGGGACGTCTTTCTTACGTACGAAGTTGACAGAACCACGTGCTCCACACTCTGCTCGAATTTTATGCTAAAGCTTACGTTATTTTGTGGCCGATACCTCGACCGTGTGTATGCATATACATGCACACATATTCTATTTATAACGTAACGTAACAAAATCGTGATCAATTAGATGTTGCTCGAACGAAATAAACGAGTACTTTCACGAGAGTTCTCCCCGAGCAGCAACGTTCGATACTTTCGCAGTTCTGCGAAAAGGAAAAAAGAAAGATGGAGAGCAGCGATACGCGTGAAACGACGGGGCTCAAAAGAGTTTTCGCTGTAACATAGTCGGCAGGCATATCCTATCTCGCCGCTGGAATCCTCATATGTCTTTCATCGTGCCTTTCCAACACCTCAGTGCCTCTCGGATCATTTTGCTCGGTCTCTCTTCCTCTTTTCTCCCCGAGAGTCCATGTCTCAAGCGGCAGCAATACGAGAAGGCAATCATATCCCATCCCACTGTCCCAGCTCGACCAAAATATCACTTCGACTACTTACTGAGAGTAGCCAAGACCAGGACCGTATTTGCGCGGCGTGTCGATCACCCCGTCGAATGTCTACTCTGCATAATTACGTTTTCACGCACGATGCGACGACGTTGAAGAATTCGGTTCCACGTACCCTCGTTTTCTAGTTATGGACGCGAAATCGCGACATTTCCCAATGCCACTGCGCACCATGTGACTCACACATCGAAGTTTTCACCGTTAAACTCGTATAAAATACATATTGAAATTACGTGTTTCAAGAACATTGCACAAGAGTATCGTTTATTGTTTTTATTTGAAATAGTTGAGGAAAGAAGAAAACCTATTTCATCTATGTCACTTCACGTTACAGTGATTAGTTCTTAATTTATCTTCTGATTTAGTTTCCTTCGTTTCTCATTTTGCGCAAATAAACGCGCCGTGCGTTGAATTTTTCAATTCAAATAGAAAAATCAATTCAACGTGTTGTTTCCTACTTAATGTTTGTTGCATTAAAAAATTGCATAATAGTAACAAAATATTGCGCGATAATAAGATAATATCATTATAATAAAGTGCACATATTAACAATATTGTGTCAGAGTTAATTAAATCAATCAGTTTAGTAAATTCTAATTGTAGACGTATAATGGCGCCACATGACATAGTTAAACGATATATTACCATTCGTAGGTTAGATGCAATTGTTGTCAAAAGAGTAATCTTTGATCAAAATTCTATGTGTACAGATTCAGAGTTTATGAGACAGTTGTGATTGTTATTAAGTTGTTTGCTTTGATTTCAAGTATGAATGTAAAGTACATAATATAATATTGATATATAGTAATAAAACCATTTAAGAAGCATATAATCAAGCATATAACCTCACTTTTGTGAAACGTAAGTATCAATTGTTTAACCTATTTAACTTATTTAACTTATTTAACCTACACATATATTTTTATCTACTACTCCTATTGTTAATACTAACTTCCTATTGTTAATACTTGTTATTTTCTTTTTTTGTCCTGAGTATTACGATAGATATTCTTTTAGGTTTAAGAATGGATTCTCCAGGATCCCAAGCCCTGGAAGTAGCTAAAAATATAAAAGATTTGGCAATATTTAAAAAACCATTAGGCGTAGTGAAAAAACATAAAAAATTACAACCAAAAATTCTAGACGAAGATACGTATATAAAGAGAATGGGAGAAATTATTCAAAGAGACTTTTTTCCTCATTTGGACAAACTTCAGGCACAAAATCAGTATTTAGACGCATTGGAACAAAATGACGTAAAAAGAATGAGAGAGCTTTATGAAAAATATAGTTCAGGACGACCAACAACCGAAAGACCTGCTAGTCCAGCCACGTTTGAAACACCTATGAACAAAACTGAATCAGAGGATGAACAACTCAAATCTACAAAAGTATCAAAAGATATATCTTTTAATACAGGCGCAAAAGACAAAGACAAAACTGAACCTACAACTGGATTAGATGTATATTTAAGTACGCACACAAGTGAAGATAATGCAAGTTTTGAGGAAATGATGGTTGAAGCAGAGAAAAGATTAAAATTGAAATTTGCATGGCTTTATGAAGCTGAAGAGAATTCAAAGGCATTAATCAATGACAAACTCTCAGATACCTTAGCCATTGATAACAGCAATGAAAAGCCTAAACAATTAGACAGTTGGAATTACAAAAATAAAAATTATATTATGTATGTTCCTGACGGAGTTGAATTAACTCCTGATGAAAGAATAGATTTAGCAAAGAAGAAGCAAATGATAATACACGAGAATACAAGGCTTCGAACCAACCCTTTCAATGAGCAGCAAAATAAAGAAACTATCAACGAACTAGCAAAAAGTCAGTCGAAAACTAATGACGGAAAAATTGGAGTTGATGGTAAAGAAATTGTGAGAAATCCAACACCTAGAGTAAACGGATTTAGTTTTGTGGCAACTCCCAGTCCAAGACCAGGAGAATGTGAAAGTCCTTTAATGACGTGGGGTCAGATAGAAGGTACACCATTTAGATTAGATGGAGGAGATACACCTTTATTAAGAACTAGTCAGGGACCATCATTTAGAATGGCAGAACCACCGAAAAGAGAGCAGCTTGCATTGCAACTAGCAGAGAAAGCTGGTGAAAGACATAGAGATAGAAAAAACAAAGCTTTAGAAGCAGCAAGAAAATCATTAGCAACGTAAATGTTCTTATATTCTCGCATAATTGTTTAAAAAATCTATACTTTATCTTTAAAAGCTAAAGATTTTTATTTTTTTTTATAGCCCATCGCCAAGATCAACCATAGATCGTTTGAGTACTATGTCTCCAGCAGCTAGAAGATTGGCTACTCAAAAACTTAGAATTGCAAGCACACCAACTCCACGAAGGATATCATCTTCAAGAACACCATTGATAGGTATCAGAACACCCAGCACACCACGAATAAATACAACTTCAAAATCTGAGAATCACCTTGAATTGAAAAACAATAATACACGATGTCAAGGTCCTGTTCTTACTGATAATTTACTTAATTTACCCCTTCAAAGGCAAAGAGCAGCTGATTTTTTTAATAAGTGAGATAAATGATGTACCGTATTTTGTATTGTATATAGATGTAAATACATTATTATACGATTAATTAGCAAATGTTACTTTATAAGCACTTATTATATAAATTATAAAATTCATATTTTATAATAATAAAATATTTACTAAAAAATAATATATCGTTGATTCCAAGTGAAACTGAAATCATGAAAATTTTCCTTCGCGGCGTAGTAGTAATAACATGAAAATAATACGGAAGTATCGATTCGTCAAATTATCACGTCCAATGTTTTTCATCCGTTAAACATATCATAATGTAATACAGACGTATATTCATTTATATTTATCAAAAATTTAATAAGTATGAATACTATGCACAAAAGGAATTAACTGCTTGAGCAAAAATACAGGAAGTTTCAAGATATCTTTAAAGATAACAGGAAATACAATATGCTACAAAATTACGTAAGCTAGCATTGAATTCAGATTTTTTTTGTATATATAAAGTCGTCAGAATTAAGGATGAAACACAGAACGAGAATCATTAATATGAAGTCTTCAATATTAAACGTTCTTTTCATCCTGACAATAGCATGCTTGGTACTTCAGGCTCAAAGCGAGGGATGCACGTGCGGAGGCTTGGGACCAGGTATAAAATAATTTTTGTGATACAACCTAACTTTCTTTTTTTATTAAAAATTATTCATTAAATTCTATTGTTCAAAGGTTCAAATCCTTGTAGCTGTAGCGAAGTCGTTGTAAAAGCTCAAAAACTACCAAAACCTACATATTATGTATCACCACAAGAAATTAAGGATGTTGTAATTGCAAAGAATATTCAAGTAGATTGCTCTAATTCACAAAACTCCAGTTCTAGCAATAGCAACAACTCAAACAGTTGTGGATGTAAAAACAACCAAAGTACAGGCAGCACTTCAAATGTACAAAGTGAAAACATTTCAGTTGTATATACTGATAGCATCTCAAGTTCTTCAGGACCTGAAGTTAAAGTATCTTGCTCTAACAATCCTAATAAATCTAAGCCTGATTGTAATTGCAAGAAGGAAAAAATAGAAACTTTGGAGATTGAGGATTCTATAAGTTTCGATGGCAATGTTGCACCTAGGTATATTTGTCTTTTAAATAAATATATATTTTTATCTTTTTAATAATGTAACAAGCAAGAAAAGAGAGAAAGCATGCAGAAATTTCTCTATTAAATCTTCATTTCTAGGTTTTCACCAATTGGTGACTTATGTTATCCTCTTCCACCAGTGGTACCTAATAATGGAAAAATAATAGAAAAAACTAAAGTTACGCCAGCTTATCCTGGCAAATTTGTCTGTTGTCCTCCATCAGTTCCATATGAAATTTGTATAAATACAGCTACTGGGAAAATTAAAACAGTTGTATTAGATTCCTCTGATACTACATCTAGTACTACATCCAAAACATCATACGGAAATATGAATTTTGGAACACTTGGTGGATCAAATTCTGCAATGTATAATTTACCCCTGATTTATGCTCATTTAAATAATAGAAACAGGCAACAATATCCAAAAATGAGTATGGGTAGCAGTTCTTCAGATTGTTTTGACGATGCAACAGGTTTAATAATTATCAAATTATAAATCATAATTAGTTCAGTATGAAAATATAAAAAAGATTTTCATATTTTCTAGGCGAAACTCAAGAATACAATTCAGCCCCAGCAACACCAGCAGATGCAGTTTCTCTTACTCTTGCATATAAAAATCTTCATGCTCCAAATATAATTTACAGACAAGGAAAACAATTTGTTCCAGAAGATAAATTATCCTTCGGTCATCGTACAATACCAACCGATGCAAAAACTGAAAATCAAATGCTTGATATTGCAGAAGAAAAACTGGTAACCGTCAATAAGCCTGTTGTAGAACTAAAAATAGCACCTCAAAAAACTATTGTTATTGGTTCTTATGATGAACAAGAAGAAGCTAAACTTGCGGAGCTTGAGGCAATCGAACGCGAAAGTATAACAAAAGAGGAAGTTTCTGATCAAATGTCAGAAAGTCTTATTTCCTACAAGTAAGCTTAATGATGTAAGAAATTTTTAACATTTGCAAAAAATATATTTATTTACTACGTTATTAACTATTTACAGAGATTTGGGTTATGCACCTGTAGATGCAACTTCCATAAAAGCAAAATCTATAAGATACAATCAAGAAATAAGTAATAAAAAAATTGAAGAAGACAGTGTAGAAGAACCATGTGGACATTTAGGACCATCAATACCAGGTTATATTCCAGGCAAAATAATTGTTCAAGAAAGGATTATCGACAATAGCTTCAGCAATCCAAAATCTAGGCTATATCTAACATAATTTGTTAAAAAACGTGATACATATATATTTAATCCTTACAGTTAAAAAGCATTTACATTAGTATGTATATGTATATAACTAAGAGGATTAAATATTGAGCAATAAAAGAGTTTTTTTTAACATTAATTTTATGTCTTTTATTCTTTCCTATACCGTTTTTAATAATATACCAAATAAAAATATTTTTTTTATATATATAATGAAAAATTGAAAAGTTTTGTGTAGAATTTTATATGAAATGAAAACCAATTAAAATAAATTAAAAATTGTACAAAAATTATAAAATACATATATGTATATTATTTTTGAAAATAATGCTTGTATTAAATTTAGTAGATATAAAGTTACAAGTTAAATTATAAAGTAAGTTTAATGAATTAATTGTTTGTTAATTATTCTAAATTAATATTTAGCAATATGACTGTATTTCATTTTATTTCTCCCAATTTTTCAAGATATACATTAAAAATAAAATACGTTGATAAAAATTATTATATTTTCGAACAATTTTAAATATTACCTGTACAGGCAGAAAATTATTTTTGAATAAGTAGTTACGGTATTTGTGAATGATAACTGTGAATTTGTAAAATTACACGTTGTTTTCAACTAATAGTTTAAAGAGAAATAGGACTTCTTAGTGCTATGCATTGCTGTCCGTTGAAATTTACAATGTTTCTTCGGCTTTCGTGGTTTAAGCGCACCTATCAACACTTCGTGAAATACTCTCTAAAGCGGAAAAGGGAGATTTTTTGGTATGAGAACCATATGGTAGAACACGATAATTCTTTCAAAGGAAGTACAATGTATGTATTTATATACATACATATACGTTGTACATTCGTACATATGCACAACACATTACTATTTAAAGCATTAGCACAATTTTTTTTTCAATGATAGTTCTCCTTTATTTCGTTTATGCGTTTTCACATGAAACGAAAGAAAATACTTTGATGCTAAGGTATTTGCACAATTTGGGTATTGAAACAATTTCCGTAACGATGGAATGTTTATGAACGTTTTAATTTATAAATACATAATACATCTCGGCAATAATGTTCGGTAAACTTTCGCATGTTGATTGATGTTTAATGGTAATATTTAGAATTCTTAGGGAACGGTACGTGTATTTCATTAACAAATTTTATAAACAAGTTCGTAGCTTGCAGCTTCCGTTTTTTGTTGAGGCACGTTCGAAGGTTACGAAAATATAAATCGAGATGGAAAAGTTCGTGCGTTTTATTCCTTGTGAATGATACACGTTTAGAAATTACATGATGCAATTTTTCTGCTTGTTCCGTTTCGTTTAGCCATAAACCGGAAGCGGAATTGTTCTTAATTAACACACATTAAGCGTGTAAGCATTGACTACAATTTAATTGTATCTGAAGTTTGCAAGATGACGACATATATTCGGAAAATCTACAATCTACATATCGTTTATTCATTCTGTAATTTGAAGAGCTGCTACAGTCTCGATTGCAATGGAGCTGAAATATGTAATAACCTCACGATAGACTTTGCATGACAGTTTGCTGATTTCCTTTTCAGATCGAGGTACACATCGAATTAAATTTATAATTTCAACAAAGTTTCACTTCGCGATAACAAAAATAATTTCAAGAACCTAAACCACTTGTAAGGGAGAGAGAGAGAGAGAGAGAGAGAGAGATACCTGTGTCATTGAACTTTAAAACAGTTTCTGACATGTATATCTAACCGCGTCACATCGAATATCCAATTTCATTAGATTACTACCCCGTCGCCATTAGAAAAGTTTTGTGTATAGAACAGGGGTTCTCAAACTTTTTTTGTTACTCGAGTAAATTTTTTGATCGAATACTTGTTCTTGTGAAATTTCATCGTTATCATGTCGTATAAATTTTAATTCGACGAAATTAATATAGGGTGGGTCAAAAATCACTTCCTACTGAAATTTTTTATTAATTCGAAATTAATAAAATTAGTTTTTTCCTTATATCTAATATTTTATGTTTATATTAAAAAAAAAAAAAATAGGTGGGAAGAAACTTTTTGCCCACCCTGTATATACGTACGAAGCAATGTATTAGACCAAAGTAATATCAATCAGTAATTACGCTTAGCAAAAGATGTTAAAATAAATCTGATGTGACATGAATAAATCATGTGACATGATAAATCATGTTTTCTCTTCAGCTTGATAATTTGTTATTTAATATGCGTAAGTAATCGCCGAGGAATTAAATACGTGCTTTCCTCGTTGGTTTCTTAACACGTAGAGTCGTATCTGAATCAAAGATATTCCAGTTAATCATCTGAACTTTTGAAATTTGCGCACGGTGTGCGTGCGATTTGCTAAAATAAGATACGAATACCCTGAATATATGAAGCTGCCCTCATCCAGCCAAGTACCAATAAGGTACTGTTTGCTGTTTGAAAGAAAGAAACTGAAAGGAAGAATGGAGCACAGGTGCTCGAGGATGTTTTTGCTTCTCGCGGTGTTAGATACCACGGCGTTCATTGCTGCCGGTGAAAATCAAACTGTTCCAACGACAGCAATTAAAGAAGGACTAAATAACCCTTTACTTGAATCACGTCACCATGACCTACCTAGTGTCTTACAATTATTCACAACGGCGGCAGAGAAGGAGGAGAAGAAAGACAATCCAGTGATCGAAGATGAAGTGATGGTGATTCTCTATTTTAGTAGTACACTTTGACATTTTGAATTGCAATTTCGGGCGACTTGTTAATCAAAGTTGTTGTTATTAAACCTTTTCAGAACCTTGCGAATAAGTCGAAAAGCCTGTTGTTAAAACGTCAGGCGAGAGACATGAGTTGGAAGTTCTCGGAAACTGAAACTGTGTCCGAGACGGAGGTTGAGACGAACTCGTCTGAACCGGGGAACGATTCCTGCGAGACAACGGCTCTGAACTATGGCCACAGGCACAAAGTTGGAGCCATGGTTCATGAATATTTCTGTGAACTGGACAAGGTGATTCGTTACATCGCGTCGATCGTGCAAGACTTCAAGCCTGGATCGCCGTTGGTCGTCGCGCTGAACATAACCGACGACGTGTTCTCGTTCACCGAGCTTGCACTTGACGGAGACCTGTCCCAGCTTATAGAAACCGTTGCGACACGTATCGAGGAGTTGTTGAAACATCCTGACAGCTTGAAATCGTTGATGACCATCGTGAAGAAGTACATTCGCGTCATCACTCACATTGTGAAGAGCGTGATTAAACTGGCGAACAATATTAAAAAGTTTACAGATCACGTCAAGCATCTCCTCGCGTACTTCCAATTCGACTTCAAACATACGTTGAAAAAATTCGAGAACAGCGTCGTCATTCTTGGCAAGAAGGTGTTGAGCTTCTTTTATGGATACGTGTTGAATCCTGCGGAGGAGATCGCTGATTTGTTCGTCGAAGCGGTTACGTGGGTGGAGACGACGGCCGATAATTTGATAACTTACATTCGCCAAAAGTTGTTTCGGCATTTGGCGTTCTTCGAGGAGGGCGTCGACATGTTGCAAGCATTTTTCAGCGGATTCTTTGCTTCCGGATTCTCGCGGACTTTGATCGAAACGCTGCAGCTCTTCGGACTATTCGAGAAAACTACAACGTCCCACAGTACAAACATTACGATGAGCGAATCTTCGTCGGAAACATTAACTCGGGATTAGCACTGGATGAGCAGGATATTGATACCTAACCTAAACCTAACCTAAACCAGTAATTACTATACGTTTCCCTTTTCTCCAATGTGCAATTTAGTCATACTTTTAATAATAGTAATAAATTTATTATAACTTAGCTGTAACTTAGCTATAACTTAGCTATAATATTATAGTATTATTATAGTACAGCACTGGTACCATAAAATTAATACTATGATATTAATTTAATTACAATATCATTATTATAATGATTCATAATAATGATATGATATTTTAAATTATAATAATATTTATTTTTAGTAAATTTAAATACAATTAAATTTCAATTCGATATGATTAAAATACATATATATATATTTTTTAGAATCTTTTATCTGTTAGAATAATTTTCACAGATGATTCGTGTATACGCTATACACCCAAAATCCAATTGCTCTCTTACAAGTGTCAAAACTTCTAGAATGTAATAATTTATTATACTTAACATATGTAATAACTAAACTATATTAACATTGCACGCTATATATATATATTACATATATATTTTATTATATATATTATATATTATAGGTATATATATATTATATATATTATATATACTATATATATTATAATATATATACTACATATATACTATAATATATACTACATATATACTACATATATTATATATAGTATATAATATATATGTAGTATAATAATATATATTATGTATTAAATATATATATTATATACTATGTATATACTATATATTTTATATATATTATAGCTATATATATTATATATATTATAGCTATATATATTATATATATTATAGTTATATATATTTATATTATTATATTGTATTATGTATATATATATAATAAAAATATTATTTTTATTTCGAATTACACATTGATGTCGAATTACATATACGTAATTATACGAACAACCAAAAACGATGATTCTGATTTGTGTTTGTTCGTTGTATACTGAAAGAGCTTTCGAAAAATTTCACAAAGAGAAAGAAAAGATTATTACTTACATTTTTGCAAATTCCCATAAAAAAAAGAAGAAAAAATACTAGAAACTCATGCAAGAAAAATAATACTATTTTATTAAGAGCTACAACAGCAAATTTGAGAAGATGATTCAGGAAGCAGGAAATTCTACGAACACTTCACAGATGTGTGTGTGTGTGTGTGTGTGTGTACGCGCGCGCGCAAACATTTATTTAAATTGTTTAATTACGACGAACATGGCAGAAGTTGCGTAATACGAGTTGTGAAATTCACGCGTCTGGGGAAGATTTCAGAAAATGAAAATACGGCGAATTGTTGCACAATATCCGCAGAGTGCAGATAGAACGTAATTGAAAAATGCAAGATCATGACGTAAAACGGGATAATTAGTTTCGTCAAATGTGGAGAGACTCGATCGAGGAGCATGTTCACTTTGCTCGAGTAAAACGAAGGGGAAACAACGTGCTGCACGCGTCGCGCGAGCGAGAAGTAACTTACTTACGATTAGAGAATAACTTAGAAGTTACAAAGGCTTTAAAGTGGTTATTAGAGTGGTCTTAATTCGTTCTATCGTGGTCACACTTCGCGACCAGCACTTCCAGAGCAGTTCATACTGCCGTCTCTGTAACTGCACGGAAATTCTCCGACATTCCTTCGAGTTTCTTCTTTTATAGAAAAGATAAGTAAAAGTGCAACAGATTGATTACAATATGACTCGATATCTCCTGTCCGTTCTCCTATTTGTCTGCCTAGTTTATGTGCTGCAGGTGAGCTCGAATATTCACATGTTCACTTCTTGAATTAATTAAATCTTCGTGAAGCTATTGAATTAATTAAATCTTCTATTTTCTCTGTTGCGTCGTTATTTAGGCCACTCCTGTGCCCGACGAGGCGCAACAATCGCCACAGCAAACGAGCACGCTCGACGACCTGGCGAACAAAGCGAGGAAGATGTTCGACGACGTGAAGGAGGCGTTCGAGCACTCGGAATTGAACAACGCCTTGGAGAAGACGAAAACATTTATCGGGCAGACTGGCGAGAACATACGAAAAGAAATAGAGAAGCTTACAGATAAGAATGAATAAATAATCATTAACAGTTTCTTCGTTGTATTTTCTTCTCTTTTTGTTTCTATTTCTATACTTTAGCAAGCATTCACGCACACATAGTTAATTGAACGATAATCTTTTTCTATCACACTTGTTGATATCAATTGTTACTTTATATTGAAATTCGTATCCCATTTTGAAATTATTAAGTAAATCACGAAACGTCAACTTTGACACAGCTATCGAGATAAAGAACGATTTGTTTGCTTTTTATGCAATACATAAATAACACGTGTTTTGATAAATATAAGTCGCGGGTGATTTGTATGACATAACGATGTATCGCTCGACGATTGCTTTGAAGAAATAAAATACAAATGTTCGTATCGATTTATTTTCTATCAATCCTCTTATCCTTTGAATTATCTGCTTCTTTCTGTGTGAAATAAAATAACATTTTTTACTTAGAAGTAATGTACATAATATGAGCAATATATAACATCATGAAATGTTAGGGAACAGAGAACAAAGTGGCTCGAACAAACCGAGGAGTTCAGATAATATCCTATCCTTATTTGTTTGTGACGTGATAGTAGAGAAGAATAACAGAAGCTAATCAATTACGAGTTCAAGTATAGCTCGGCGTTCATTGGTTTCATAATATGCCAACACGTGAATTATGTGTAAATTGTATTTAAATAAATATAAAAATCTACGTCCTTTTCAGTAATTAATGCTCGGATCGAATTGAACATTATTCGAGTAAAATTACGAGTAAGCTTAAAAACTGAATGAAAATTACGAATAAGTCTAAATTGAATAAAAATGATATACAAGTGCTATATGTGTTATACACAGTCAATTATAAAATTGTTCCTATGCTCGACGAATAAATATAGATTTATAATTTTGTCAGAAAGAAAAGAAAAAAAAAAATATCGTACAACAATCCAGTTGACTTTATTTTAAATGAAATTCCTACTTTTTCACCTCGCACGATGTCTCTATCGACGATGGGAAAGTAAGGATACTTCTGTTTCACGAAAATCATAAGAATTCAAACATTCTTCACAAGTCACTGCACAACATTTTTTTCCACGTTGGATCGTTTCTCGTTTCTGTATTTTATTCACTAATTTTGGGATAAAATTTGCCCAACTCTGTGAAAGATCAAGGCCCTTATTGACAGAGAGCACACATACAGATAAGAAGTTGTTCCACATGGACTTTGAAGAAACGATTCCGTGGCATCGATAATGCACATGCAGCAGAAGAATCAACAAGTGCATCGATAGAAAATTTTTCCACGGGACCTTGTCCCCTTGACGCAATTTTTTATGAATATCTTATGCACGTTTATTAATAAATTTCAAGACATCAAAAATATGATTGAACACCAACTCCTCGAACATATTGAAATTTTCTCTAAAAAAAAAAAATGTTCTTCCATTAAAATCAGATTTTATGTTTTATTCAGACGATCGAAATAACACGCGAAAGTTGATATAAATGTAAACTTGATACTTTTTTATATTCCAGTTTGAGATATTTAAAAAAAAAAAGATAAAGTTGATGATAATTTCATCGTTATTTTGAACTTTTGAACGGAAGATATCAATATAAAATGAACTATAAGAAGGTGTATAATTACAACCACTATGTGTGTGTGTGTGTGTGTGTGTGCGCGCGCGCGCGCGCGTGTAATTACAAGCACTCTATATATATATATATATATAATTACAAGCACTATATATATATATATAATTACAAGCACTCTATATATATATATAAAATTACAAGCACTATATATATATAATTACAAGCACTCTATATATATATAAAATTACAAGCACTATATATATATATATATATAATTACAAGCACTATATATATATATA